GGGGATTTTGTAAACTATTATCCAATCACGAAAGACTAAGGGTTGACCCTGAAACTTTGATGGTGTCAACCGCGTGAAACGCGCAGTACCATAGATCCGGTTTGTGTGACGGGGCCAGGGGGGGGGGGCGATTCTCCACTAACACCCGGTATGGCCAAAATTGGCCGGTTTACAAGAGCGCCTGCTAGTTAGAAAATAGGCCAGAACTCTATCAAAAACCAACTTTAGAGCACCAGACTAAGCGCCCAGACCAAGATAATACAATTACTTTGTGATCCAGGTCATTGGGATGCTTAAGGATGCTCTGGCGGCTTAGAACTAGTATGCAGAAGTTACAGTAGTAGTAGTGGGCCAAAATTCCTGCTTTAATTCTAGGTGTAATTTTACTCAAGTTAAACTCGTACCGTACCATACCCCACATCTGTTCGCGAGGGGATTTTATTTGAAAGTTGGCGTTTTCTTATGGTTAGGGATAATACTAAAATTCGGTAGGAATCAATCAATATGATTGGCTAATTAGACAGATCGAAATATCGAAAATGAGTATTTGCTTGATTTTTTGCTCCGATTACATACTATTACTACATGCAGTACGTACTACTCATACAAGTAATTTGCTTCGACTCCTCGTTTCGGTTTTTCGATATTTCGATCTGTCTAATTAGCCAATCAGATTGCTTGATTCCCACCAAATTTAGTATTATCCCTAACCATAAGAAAATGCCAACTTCCGTATAAAATCCCCTTTTCTTGCGTTTTGAACAGTTGTGTTGCGGTACCGTACCTGGGTACCTACATAGTACTTCACTTACTTCATATTTTGGACCACTGGTAAATTAAAATTAAAATTTTTCAACTTTCTCCCGTCTCCGCCCAAATTTTTGGAATTTTTTTTTGCAGTTTCATGATTTTCACCTGTGTAGACTACAGTACAAATCCTACACAAAATAAAACTGAAATACAAAAAAAGTTTTAAACAATTACTTTGTATAAAACACCTTTTCTGCTCATTCATTTCTCTCCTTGTGCAACGGATACCTACGTACTGTATTGAAAGTATAAGTATGTACAGTATTGAAGTATACATACATACAGTGTTGGAAGTACTATACGTACGTACGATGCTGAATCGATACTATGGTTGGACATACCATCCCTACCTACACATCATAAGGTAATATTCATATATACACATCATATGATCCATCGTACCGAGGATTCCAAGAGGTCCAAGATATACGAGGTACGGTGACGTTGCAAAGAATAAAGATGTCACAAGTCTGGAATAGAAGAACCCTCATGGAGATTCAGTACTGGAATCTACATAAGGATCTAATCAGAACTTTGGAAATCTAGCACATTCGCATGATAATCTTTAATCTTATAATTTCATTATTCATACACTTAAAAAGTACACGTAATTTTGTGCATCTTGTAATATCCAAGCAAGAAAATATAAAACACTACAAACCAGATTATTAACTATCTCCCAAACCATCATATTTACCAAGAACATAAAATAATCATATCACCACCATAATGGACAACGATGATGATTCTTTTTCTGATGGTGATGACAATTGTTCATATGGTAGCTGGTAGTGATGCAGACCAATCTGACAACAGTGATGGTGGCCTGCACCCTTGCAGTAGGATCCCCCTCCCAAGATAACAGCAGTGTTTTCAGTGGTGATACTACTAGTAATGGTTCTCTTGGGAATCTTTCTGATGTCCCTTACTACTACTAGTACTACAATGGTGCTCCCTTTGACAACAAAATTCAAGAACTCCTTGACTGTGACCTCTCTGATTCATCTGATCTAGAGCAGGATGAATTGGAACATCTTTTCTAGCAGGACTCCTCAATTCACATGAGTCCCACTAAAGTTCCTCCTGCTGCTGGTACATGCATGTCTTTACTACTACTAGATGGTGATGAAAAGCACACAAGAACAATGACTATGAAGAAGGATGCAATAACAATTTCACTCAGCATCAATCTCCTTGTGTCAGAAATGTTGTGCAATTCTTTGAACAACTACAAGACACCAGCAATGATCCAAGTCCACCCAAGAGGAGAGATCAGCTGTGTCTAGGGGTACTAGTAGTTCTAGACTGCTGGAAGTATCATACATGATTATCTCCAACAAGGAAGAGTTGTTTGGGTTTCATTTGAGGATAGGACTAGCAACAGTCAAATACTGTCAACAAAGCTTGCATTGGTGTCATGGTGGCATGGAATGGCAAGAAGTTTTGTGATGATGCAGCAGAGGAGTGGTCTCCTCCCCCAAATGCTCAGTACTATACATCACCTGGAGGATGTGCAGCCCCAGGTCCCACCAGTACTGTAGTAAGGAATACAATGGATGGCTAAGGTAGAAGGGTTGGCACATTTGTTCTTGTTCTTGTTTGATGAAAAAATCTTTTCAGCTGATAGCAAATGAGTCCAACTGGTATGTGTTTGAAGATTGGACTGGAAAGCTCCATATGCTGATGAAGGTTATAGGCTGGAGTGGATGCCAAAGACTTCAAAGAATGGAAATTACCACCCTTGTGATTGTGGGATTTGTTTCTTCTGTGGTGCTGTGAACAAAATTACCAGCATTGCCATTGCTCATGGTGGAAAGATAACTTCAAAGCCACAGGAAGAAATATGCAGTAGAAAGTATGAAGGAGTGAAGAAGAACTATCCTGTTGTCTGTGTAGAAGAAGCAAAGCATAGGTATCCTAACTCATCAGTGAGGAGATTGAGGAAGTTGCCAGGGATTAGCACTAGTAGTAGTATGAAAATGTCAAGACATGGTTGCAAAAGTTGCAATTTGTTGTATGCAAAGAGTATTGTAGTAACTTCAACCATCAGGTTTAGGTAGTAGTGATGTTTTATGTGATAGTATTATTTATATTAATCAAAATATATTCATAATATATTTCAGGGATGATAGGGATGTATGAATTACAATACTACCAATGTACTAATAAACTGAGTGAGTGCATAGATGGAAAATTGAAAAGAATTTAGTAGAAATGAATGAAGAAAACCACTGTGGCTATTTGTTGTTTCTAAAACAGGAATGAAATCCATTAATCTGTTGTATATGTTGGATGTTGTTGGCATTGTTGTTTTTTGTGAAGAGAGGAGCTGTTCTTGTCAAAACTAGCTAGGCCAGCACTGGAAGTTCTAACTCTAGTAGTATAAGGCACAACAACATAAATCCAATGATTGCTTCTTCTTCTTCTGTAAGACCAGGTTGAAACAAGAAATTTTCCAAAGATCTCTATCCTGTATTTTGTGAATAGTTCTTGTTGTGTTAGTAATATTATTTGGTACTTTAGGTGTTTTCAGTACTGTTTGCCTGCACTTACAGGAACCACACCAGTCTATGATACTGAAGTGTCCACAATTTGCACTTGACTAGTATATCAGTCTGTAAACTGAATCTAACCTGGATCATATATCATATCCATGTTGTCAACAGATTCTGCCTGGAGTTCTTCTCCTAACAAACTAGGAGTAACACTATTTTCATTAGTTTGGTGAGAACAGTTGGTTCCCACCTCTCAAGTTATTGAGTAACTTGTTCAATAGCATCTTTTGGCCTTCCTGCATTGAAAGTGCTACAACAATCCTGAGAATTTTCAGCAGTTTTTGATAAAGGTTTTTCAATTTTCCACTTTGGCTTGTTGTCATAGTTTTGGCTTAGCACAAGAAACAGTGCTGAGGAAAGAATGATGCTGTACTAATTGTGCTTGTACTGCTATCTGTTACCTTGACAAGTATGTCCTCGTCACAAAGTTTTGGAATGGCATCCTCCTCCACACTGGTGCTACAGTTCTCAAACAATGGAAGTATGAATTTAATGACTTATGCTGTCTCAAAAGAGACAACAATACTTTGAATAATTTCAGCATACCTTAAAAGTACATCTGTGAGTACCATAGGGTATTACCAGTCCTGTTCCTCCAGGGGTGCTGTCCTTCATGGCAAATTGTAGAAGAAACCTTCTCCCAGCACGAAGAAGTGATAATTCTAGCTTTAATATTGTCTCTGGTTCTAGTAGTCATATGGCTTGTTGGCATTGAGGAGGATGGCCCTAAAGCATGAACCATGTTTCCAACAAGTACACTGCTGTCTCTGTCTGGTCCATGTATAGCAGAGGAAAATGTTCAGTAGGTCTATATTGAATATCTTCAGCCGTCCACTCACAACTTTTGTTTCCCTGACAATAAACTTGTGTTATTTTTTATCCTAACAATTCCCTTGTTCATACTAGTACCACCAGTAGCATCCTTGGTCTCACATGACTTCACAGCTCCACTATGAGCTAACATAAGTTCTCATTAATCAAGATGCTGCTATCAAACATTGCTCTGAAAGATCACAACACCTAACATATCAGGAGGCAAGGACAATTTCTCATCCATCCACCAGTGTTACCTATTGCAAAACATGTGGGTAGTACTTTTTAATAGTGGGTGACGACAGGGTAATTGAACTTCTTTGGGCACATGAATGTCTTAATGAAATTTTATTTATAATGTCTTATGCCATTAATGTCCTGGTGCATAATACAATTTTATTAACACAATAATAGCCCTCTCCAGTATGAGACCAAAGCTGAACAAGAAATTGTCTTTCTTTGTGTTGCTAGTGGTGGCTTAGCAAACTATTATTAAAGATAGTGCAGAATAGTTTTACAGGATCAAGTGCGGAATACTTCTTCAGGATTAAGTTTATATAGTGGTCCACTTGCTCGGAACCGTCATGAAATACCGTTCCATTGCATTTGTGAAACGTGCCTTGTACAGGGGTGGCTGAATAATGGTTGGAGCTTCACTCCCCACCACCATCGGTAAAGATTTACCAACACGTTCCATTTGTTTCAATATGTCATACTGCCTCATAAAATCAATTATTCCTACCACTAATTCCATTTTTTCTTCGTCAATACCCACCAAAATGGAATAGTCAAGGACATTTATGATGGAGAGAAACAGCGTGTCGTTCAAAATGCTCATGTGGAAGACTTCTTTGGCACGATCATGCATCGGCATAGGTCGGCCATGAGTCGTTTCTAAAAAGTCCCCATCCAAGAGCGTTCGTGGAGCATCAGGACCATCTTTTCTAGAATTCTTACTATCTATACCATCTTCCCGATCATTGCCATTTAAGTAATCCTCGACAGCACTTCTTCCACCCACCTCATAACCAGACTCTGAAGAATGTTTCCGGTGCCCGCTTGCAGAGTCAGCGCTGTGTCCACCCACGTTGTTCGAAATATTGGGACTGCTATGTTCCTCATAATTATTTTTCATTTGAGCTGCAAAACGACCTCGAAGCGAACCTTTCAGGTCAAACGTCTTCGTTATTTTCTTGTTATAAAATATATTCTGCGCAAAGGAGAAGCAAGATAGATGGATTTTGCGACAGCTGGTTTGGGCAATCGTTGATTCTGTATGCATGCAAAAGCGAAACAAACATGACAAGCGAAACTCACCTGCATCACAGCCACTTGTTCCATACTCCTTTTGCCAGTTACTCGGTTGTGATAACCAATCTGATAAACACCCACGATCTTGCAAAGGACAGTTGGTCTATTCGAAAAGAGAGAAATATACCATGAGTTAGTATGAGTTTACAGTCAAAGCAAATCGATTGAAGTCCGAAATTTTGATTGAGTACATACAAACCGTGGAAAAACGCCTTGCTCAGGTATTCAAAGTACGCTGGAGCGCAATCTAAAAACATTTGAAGTTCTGTTCGTGAAATGCACTTGATAACAAAACGATCATCAGCAGTGCGTGCGAAGCTTGCCCCACTTTTCCCTCCACTTGCAGCCCATGAATAGGCAGAGGACAAACTCAAAATATACGACTTCTCGATATCCAAGCCAGATTGTATGCCAAAAGCAGAATCATTCGTGGAATCTTTGGAACTACTGCCTTGCGATAAGAAGGCCTCACGAACGGCATGAAATTGAGTCGCCCAATATGTCGTACAAACGAACTTGCACAGGTTCTGTCCCTTTTCGTCAAGATCGCGGAAAGTATGTTTAATATGGGACTTGTTTCTCACTAACATTCTCCTTTCTATATCTTTCTTTCCAGACGAGCTGGGTGTATTAGACGGTGTCTGTCCCCTGGGTTGATTTTCTTGAGAATCACTCGGTGGATTTCGATGATTTCCATCCGAAACTGATTTGGGAGGTACATTTGGTAGTGTGCCCACATCGCTTGAAGTTTCAGGACTCGCATTTTCTACCTTTGAATAATTTTGGAACTGATTGTCGTATTCTTTGGATGAAAGGGAATATGCGATGACAGTGGATAGTTGTTCGTCAATAACAGGTACAACGATGCCATTAACACCAGGCTCAAGTCTCGGTCGACCGTCGTGAAATAAACCCAGATCCACAACATATGGATCTCGTTCTCTACCTCCACGCTGGAAGAAACGAGTGATGGCGGACTTTACAGTAGCTCCAGGAGTTTGCTTTATTTGCGAATTTGGTGTTCTATCCTGTTCCCGTCTCGCCAAAGCCTTTACTCCTAGTCGCGAAGAGTCAGTTGTCTGGGGAAGAACATTTGCGCTGTAAAGACGTCGTCTGGAAGCCAAGACATCAGCATCAACTTCAGCTGAAAAGTCGATGGCGCCTTCTGGATCTTCAAAATCATCATCAAACTCAGTTTCTACAACCTTCTGGTCTGTGTTCCCGGGTATCGTAGGCAAGACGGTGTGAATATCCGTTAGATTGTACCGAGAGTACACTTCGTGGAGTTGACGGAGTCTTCTCATCCCTTCGTTCAACTCTTCGGTATTCTGATCACCAGCCACAATTGCAGGTACATTCGACCCCATTCCACTGTCGTTGCGTTGTGAAACTGAAGATAATTTTTTCATCGCAACAATCGCCTGTCCCGCGGCACTTAACTTCTCGTTCCAGGCTGATGTCAGCATGAAAAGGAAACGCCTTGCATGCCATGGAAATCGAAAGAGAGCTGCATCATTAACAATACCACCGTGTTCGTTCAAACATTTCGCGGAAACAGACGCAATTTTCTCCTGAAGGGTTTTTGCTGCATGATCTACTTCGTTGCTAATTCTACTGAGCTCACTGATAACGGTTTGCAGGTTTTGATTGTCTGAAATTCGTTGCACTGACCGAGCTTCTCTTGCCACTTTTTCAATATGTTTGTCAAATTTAACAAAGAGAGAGCTCGACGAAATGGAAATCTTTTCCAAATGGTGCTGAGCCCTCGCACGGTGAAACGTAGTATCAATGGGTAGAGACTTTCTGACAAAAACACCAAAAGGTCGAATTCTTTCATAAGTGAATTTTGCTGCGAGACGGCCACATCCGAAGAACAAAGTTGTGGATTCTTGGAGATTGCACGCGCAATCGCTCTGTGGTGAGTTCATGATCAGGTCTCTGTTGTAGAAGAATGATTCAAGAAATTTTCCAAAAGAATACTTCCAAGTATTTTCAGAGAGCCAGGTTAAGGGCGTGACAACCTTCCCACATTCGTTACAATAAGTCCAAGTGGCAATAGGACTATCGTCTAGTTCTTCGGAATCGTCATCGGCATGCTTCGAGCTATCGTTCGTTTGAGTAGAATCGACTGGTGCTGGCGGGAGAGGTTCGTCCATGTGATCTACAGTTATGTTTATCAATCCATCATTGTGAACGAACGATAACGAATGATCGAGCACAGACTTCTTGCAGCTCGGATTTTGACATTTTAGCGAGAGATTGAAGCACGAATCCCTTAGAAACTGACCGAGCGAGACGTCTTGTACGGAATAGTAACATATTCCCTTTACTTCGGCCGGGCAACACTGAGTTTTGTCAGTCATCCAGACTGACGTGATGAGAATCGATTGGTGATCAAAAGCGGTGATCTGCCCCGATATGGAACGCTGTATGCCTTCGTTGTTTGTTCCGCCGTTCCACGGTCGAACTTTGCGGCTGTTGGGAGGAGTGCCGTAATCCACACAGAACGAAGAACTGAAGAGGTTCTTTTTCTCCACCTTGTAGTCCGGGGGCAACCGTGCACACCGTTCTTTCAGGTACGACATCTCCAGCTTTACGTTGTAAGCGGCGCCCACAAGAAATCGAAAGACGTTTTTGATCTGTTTCAACGCAGCCTTGTTCGCCCCCCTCAAAACAACCGTGCATCCGAGCTGTTTTGGACAGCCCTCTAGCAAGGCATACGTCTGCGTAACGCCACGTTTGGCAAGCCCGCTTCGGATTGCTTCCGATCCATCTAGAATATCCTCTCCCAGCATTTTTGCAGCAAGGGCTGCTTGTCGTTCGTGGTTGCTGAGTTTCTCGTTTTCCAGCAGTGTTTGGATGTGGTGCTGTCCGTTCGAAACCGCACCCGAGGGTCCGCTGACCCAGGATTCGTTGTCGCGCGCAACAATGAAGCGAAATCGGTGACACTTCCCAAGGACATGGGCTCCGAATTGATTCATGATGTGATCGGTGCTGCTAATGATTGTGGCACCGGTTTGTCGCGAGATTCGGTTCAGGAGCGACGCTTTCACCTGCTGTAAAAGTTGCACGTTGTTTTCTATGAGCAAATCCTGGGCTCTGCGACTAACTCCCTTTCCTACCATTAAAACGTCCGGTTCGAGCTTCAGGATCTTGCCGACCAATATTTCGATGTACTTGTCTTCTTGTTCCAACAACGTGTCCAGCGAAGCTATCCGGGCGGTCCGTGTAAATTCAATGCCACCGCTCAACAACTTTGAACCGATGAAAGCGATGGAAAGAAACCGTGTTGGAACTTGTTGGATTGCAAACCAGAGGGCAGAGATGGCAAAGAATTCGATCCACAACTTACCATGATCTTTGGATTTATTATTTCCCGGGGCATTTGCTTGCTCGTTCCGGTCTTTCTGAAAGCAATCCCACTGATGTAGGCACAATCGTCGCAGGATCCACCGGGAATCACTGGTTGGGAATCGAGGAGAAGGTCCAAACCGTCGAGAACGGAGGCGAGGTGAGATCGGCGGCACGCCAGACAAGCCTTTCTGGATTCCAAAAACAGGCAGGGGTTCAAAAGCACGGCCAACAACGAACGATGCGAACGATGCCAACCGAAATGGTCGAGAAATGAAATAGAAGTACGTACCTTTGATCTTCACGTAGGGCCGAACGTCTAGCATGTCTCCGCGCTTGATGTTGGTATCGACCGTCGCGCAGCACCGCGTGGCCAGGCTCATCAGCTTGTTGACCCACCGGGAGCGAAAGCGTCTCTCGGCGTCGGCCCTGGATGTCGGACCGTCCCCGCCGAGGGCCGCCCGCTCGTCGCAGAGGGTGTTCCAGAGTATGGGCGCGTCCGACTCCAGCAGTGACGCCGTCATTTGTTCCAGGTGGCTGGCCGCGACCGAGCCCAGGTGGCGGTTTCCTTCTTCCACCGCACTCGATCGATCCATGTTGGCGAGGGACGACGTCGAGGACGAATGGCTCGTCTGGCGTTTCGAAGCCAGAAAGGGCGAGGCCTTGTCCGTTGCCCCGGGATCCTTGTCTCCCATCAGCAAACCGTCGATTCCGTTTATTCGCAGGTCTTGCAAGCGAGACGAAATGGTTTCGGAATCCGAGGACTGCACCGTGATCTTGACGCCGCCGTGCTGGTTCGCGTTGGCAATGGTATCGACGCTGGTGGTGGTGGTGGTGCTCTTGGGTCCCTTAGTTAGCTGCCGCTTCCGGTCCTCGTCCGCCGCGTCGAGTTTCTTTTGTTTTTCCTGGCGGGCCGTCACCTGGTCGAAGCACATCTTGCAGGTCCGTATGGTGATCTTGCTGTTCGTGGTGCCGCTGCCGTCTTTGCTTCCACCGGGACCAAAGGACGCCAGGGGGGACGACTGGGACGAAACGGTGGGCCTCGAGGGCGTGGTGGATCCGGGACCGCCGATTTCGTAGCTCGAATATCTCTGGGGAGACTCGGGCGACGCCGGCAGGAGCTTCTGCGACGACGACGACGACGACGAGGGGGCCGTCGACGACGCGGGAACAAAGTAGCCGGAGCAGGTGTTGCAAAAGACCTGGCCGCATATGCGGCAGTGGTGCCGGCGCCGAAAGACCGTAAAGGGTGCGTCGCACGAATAGCATATCTTGCACAGGCGGTCCGGCATCCAGGCGACCTCGGCGATGCTGGTGACCCCGGATGGGGACGCCACGGGGCAAACGCCGCCCTCCTTGCCGGTGCCGGCCCCCCCGGACGGCACAGAGGCGTGGTACGGACGGTAGCGGACGACGTCCGTGTGATCGCCGCCCTCGGCTTCCTTTTCCTCGAGAATGTTGGGCAGGGCCGCCATCCCTCCGAGGAACGAAACGTCTTTTTGGATATCGTTGTTGACGTGGTAGGGCGAAGAATGCTTTTTGATCAGGCCCTGGAGCTGCAGCTGCTTCTGCAGCGCATTGCCCCCGCCGTCGTTCTTGTGGAGGTACATCCGTCTCGTCTCTTTCGCTCGGCCTTGTGCCCTTGGCATGACCCCGACGTGGTAGTAATAGGCAGCCAGGAAATCCCTCGACGGGTCATCCAGGATCGGTTTCTGGTATGCCGCATCGCGTTCCCTCGGTGGCAACAGCTCGAGGGCTGGATTTGGATTTGGACTTGCAGCCGTTTCCCCGAAGGCATCGCCGGATGCACGGAATTTGTGGGACTTCCACAGGAGCTGCTCGTCGATCGACCAGTCTCGAGAATTCACGAGCTTGTGCTGCTCGCGCGAGGCATTGCTTGCGTGGTGGGTCTTGTAGCCGGCTTCTTCGAAATGATCGCTGGCACTGTGTTCCAACACCGTTGGCAACTTGTTGCTGCCGTGGTTGTGGTTGCCGCTGTTGTTGTTGCTGTTGCTGCTGGCTCCGTTCGCCTGTTGCTGTTGCTGTTGTTGTTGCTGCTGTTGCTGCTGCTGTTGTTGTTGCTGTTGCTGCTGGCTCCGTTCGCCTGTTGCTGTTGCTGTTGTTGTTGCTGCTGTTGCTGCTGCTGCATCTGCTGCTGCCGCTGGAGCTGCTGCTTCGGCGTGGGAATGCTCGAGGTCCCGCCCAGCAGCCAGTCCGCGGTCTTTTCCTGCCACTGGGTCGAGCTATGGTTGCTCAGGGCCTGGCTCTGGGTCCCGTAGGTGGGGAACTGGACCAGCAGGCTCCCCGCCAGCTCGTCCTCGTCGACCGCTTCGTCCCCGGAAGCCGGGTGGCCCGCGGAGGCCCCCGGGGAAGGAAGGCCCCCCCGTTCGCTGTCTCGCTGCGGATCGGGCCGCTTCCCGGCTTCCGGCCCGGCGTGGCTCCGCGACGCTCCGCCGGGATCCCCGGCAACGGCCGCCGCCCCCCCCAGGAGGCTCCGCAGCATGGTGGCGGGAAGTGCGGTGCGGTGCGGTGCAGGGGCGCTTCGGAAGAAGGGTTCCGGAGATTCCCAGCGGCTGCTGCGGCACCCTACGACTGTGTGCTGTGCTGTGCTGTGCTGTGCTTCTGTTCTTGCTGCCTCTCTCTCGCTCTGCCTCGTACCGTTTCGAAGCGGTGCTAGAAGAGGGTGCGACACAGGGTGTTGGAAATCCTCCGGCGTTTGTTTCGATAAACACGGGGTGTCGTTTTCTGTGTTCGTCCTTTGCATCAAGGCCTTGAAGCCTGTTGTGCAGAATTGTCCATGGGGAACCCCTACAATATCGTAGTACGGCACCGCAAGTACTGTACCGTCGTTTCACTAGTGCTACTCTACGTTGAGGACAAGGAAATGATCGAAGGATTTCAAAAATCAAAAATCGGAGTTGCGGGCATTGGCAGGTTTCACGGGAATTCTCATTGTTTTGTGTCGATTTTTAGTCACGAATCGTTCGTTCCGGATTGAATTGAAATAGGCTCATAACCACTTTCAGGTTCACGACTGACCGAATACTTGGGTTCCGTCAATTCCGGTGGAGTCGAGGCGATGCGACGCGAGGGACCGGAAGACTTCGTACGGTACGAGGATCGAAAAAAATGTGGAACCGAAACACACATCTGGAATCATCGCCCAGGGTTCATTTCATACCGTACGGTACCGTGCTCTCCACTCCTTACCCTGGTCGGCATTCGAAGAGAAACCACCGAGAATCCCTGCAATTCTCCACCGCACCAAATCAAACCGCACCGGATCCCCCGTTCCCCGCCCGATCCAGTGGCAAACCCATCGGCCCGGCCTTTTCGTTTTGGTTTTCGTTTTCGTTTCCCTCCCCCCCCGGAGATCCTCTGCAAACGGGTCCAGAACCATGCCGCCGCTTCCGCTTCCCGAGGCGGCCACGCCCGGCCACGCCCAGGCCCCGGTCGCCTTGGGCCTGAACGTCCTGATCGACCACGCCAAGAAGGACCTCAAGGCCAAGGCCAACCCGCCCTTCCTGTCGCACTACCGGGTCCTGCCCGAGAACGTCCGGACGGCCTACGACCTCTTTTTGACGGGGGCCCAGCTGGTCCGCGCGACCGCCACCAAGTACGCCCTGGTCGGCGCCGCCAGCAAGAAGGACCAGGTCACCCTGGGGAACGACCTGCTGCGCGGGTGCGAGCTGATCGGGGCCGCCGTCCACGCCACGGTCGCGGACGCCTCGGGCTGCTCGCGGGCCGTCCGGCACTACAACCAAAAGGCGGCCCTGGCGGTCTACCTGGCGACCCTCCGGCTGGTGGAGGCCTTTCACCCCGAGCTGCAGCGGACCAGCAAGGACGGGAGCGTCCGCGGCAGCGGAGGCGACCCAGCCTCCAGAGCGGTCCCCGCGGCGAGCGACAACACGGTGGGGGCCCAAAAGACGGGGGCCGTCTGGGAGGCCTGCGACCATATCCTCAACAAGATGCTTCCGCAGGGCAATCGCAGCGCGATACGGAGGGAGATCTTCACCTGGACCCGGGAGTGCAACGACACCCTGGAGGAGTTCGACGAGATGGTCCAGCTGGGTCCCAGGGAAGGCGGCGGCGGCGACGACGCGGAAGGCGAAGAAGACGACGACGACGACGGCTTTTGTGGCTTTGGCGGCGACGACGACAAGTACACGGAGGACGACCTGCCCCTCGCCGAGGCCTGCGTCAAGCTGCTGAAGAACTCGCGGGGGAACATGAGGGTCGCCCTGGAAACCTGCGAGGCCCTGGGCGAGCGGCTGGCCGGGAGCGGAAGCGACAAGGACGACGAAACCATCCTGGACGCCATCCTGCGGGTGCACGAGCACGCCAAAAACGTCGGGGAGGGCGTGACGGACTTTGGGAGCCTCCTGTATCCCCCGCTCGTCCCGTCGACGGCACACCTGGAGGCCGGGGTCCGCAGGCAGGCCGCGCTCATCCGGGAATTCCAGGACTGCGTCCTGGGGCTGGAGCACCTGCCGACCAAAACCATGGAGCTGGCCAGGACCCTCCGGGCCACGGCCGACACCCGGGAGAAGGACTTTTTCGACGCGCTGGCGGCGTACAAGAACAAGGCGTGCTAAGAGACGGGCACGATGCCTGCTCCGAAACCACCGCGACCGCAGAGATCGGCATTCCACGAACCAGCTGCACTAGGCAAATGTCCAAAATATTGTTATTAATTACGGTACTTTAGTATTAGAATTGTCGTTTCTCAGCCTTTTTTCGAGACACGGACCATCCCCGCCTTTTCTGCCCACCAGATTTCTTTGGGATCGCCTCTGTCTTCTGCTCCGCTCAAACCCAGGCAAGCGGACACAAAAAAGTTGCCCTCGCTGAGGAACACGATTCGGGCCCGATGCGGATCGGTGTCGGAAGATGTCTCTCCCATCGTCAGGGTTTTGTGAATCTGGCCGATCCAAACGAAGTCCTTGCTTTGGTTGCTAGCACACGATGCGTTTTCTTTCCCGTCGGCATTGTTTGTCGAGGAATTTTGTCTCGCGCAATAGAACTTCAGGGTGCAATTCGTTCGGTCCTTTCGATCCGCCGAAAGCCATTCTGCAATCTCGGCGCTTACGGCAACGTCTACTGGTTTTCCGACCTGAACGTTCTTGACAGACTGTTGCGACTCGTTTCCGTTTGATCCTCCAAAAATGCTGACGCCAATGGAGCACGGGGCCTTGCATATCCGAGACAAGAAAATTGGATTTTCGTCGATAATCTTCTGCAAACAAGGACGGGGTATCTCCAATATGCCCTCGCGAACGCGGTAGTTAACCGGAAACATCGGGCCTCCGGTTTCTTGGGCGTCGTCCAGCTCGGAGCCACCAATTTCACTCTTCCACTTGAATTTTAACATGGCAACAAGCCGTTGGCAGATGTCGTCTGTCCTTTCGAGTCTTGGGAGTATGATTGGGAATTTGGCACTAACTCCCTTGGAAACTTTCAAGGTGTCCATCTTGCTCTTGGCAAAACCGACTGGCAAGCCATCCATCCTCGACAATATGATCGGAGAACTAGACTCGTTTGCCACGGATATCATCACAACGACCTCGTCGCTACAGACATGAATTCCACGGTCCCGATCCAACCGCTTTGGGCCGATTTTTTGGTCACCCGTGCTTCCTGCTCGGGGACTCAACGATCGTTCGGAATCGGATTCCTTGATAGCAAGCGCATTGCACAACTCAGAGTACCCACTTTCCCAAAATAAATCACAGCGAAAGGACAACGAAGGGATTTTCGGACCCTTGACTCGCAGAATATGGACTTGGACTTCATATTTGCGCCAGACCTCCAACTCGGACGATACTGCTTTCCCGCGATACCTGAACCGTAGAGTCAGGTGGCTCGAAGCGGTTTGGGCTCCCATACTTGGGGATGCAAAGAGTTTTGTAGAAATGAAACTGCTAGACAAGTCGCTGGTCGAAGAATTCAGAGTATCTGCATCTAAACCAACGCAATGAGCAGAAATTTTGATCGGACTGGAATCATTCATTGAGTTTTTGTCATCGCTGTCTCCAGCAACATCATTTTCATTTCCCTCTGTTCGAGACATGTCGTATAGCACCACATCAGAAAGACCAGGGAGACCGACTGCAGATATTTGAAGCTCTTCGATTCTACCGATTCCACCAAGTCCGGTATCGTTTGAAACACACATTTTTGGCAGCGTAAAGATCTCCCCGTCTGCAAGAAGCACTGGAATAATGGTTTCACTATCGATGGGTGTCGTTGATGACGCAAAGGAAATATGAATATTTGGTTGCGGCGGTATAATTTCGAGTTGAGGGGAATAGATCACTTTGCTTTCCTGATCCTCAACTCTCGAGGTTTTGGTGTAGTCCCTCTTAGGATACAATGATAGACTCTTCGGAATGATCTGGCCTTCCGTTTTGTTAGGTTCATCGTCCTCTCCTAGAGGAAGGTAGATTGATCGCGATAAAGCAGTTATGCATATGCCTTTTACCTGCAGAATATCGATATCATCGTTTTCGAGCTTGTCGAGAACCATGAAAGGAAATTGGACAGCAAAATTCTTGGTCTGACCAGGGATCACAAACGATATAGAAGGTGCCTTGATCCGATCACTTCTTGAGCTGTCGAATTTCAATTTGCATGAGCCGATCTCGAAGGGCACAGCTAATTTGTTAGTGAACGTGATTGATATGTATTGCTCTTCGCCCCTTGGAATCGTTGTTGGCTTTTGCTTTCTCTCTTGTTTAGCGTAAGGATTGAAAAAGGTTGACATGGCGTTCTCCTTCTTCTTTTCTTTGGGTTCTAGTTTGATTCGTTCAAGCTTCGTAGAAGAGTCAGAGGTGACAATGCCAATAGATGTTATTTCGATTGGAAGGTTTTGGTTGTTTTTCGAGGAGATCATATTCTGCAACGTGCAGGCTGGGATGTTCTTCCTCAAATCAAAAATTTGTTGAATCAGTTGTTCTTGCGCCAAGGCACAATTTTCGAACCTTATAGTCGACCAAACCGATGGCATTGCTATGACACCAAGACCAAAATCAGAAGAAAATTCACTCATAGGCACCTGCATCGGATCCACGGGATCGTCTTCAACCCATTTTGCCTGCACTACCAATAGCGACGAAATATCGTTCCCGAATATCTCCTTCGATCTGGTGCGGGCATCTTTGGCTACTACCTTTGCGCTTTCGCGAAGATACGATCTCGCACCCGCGAAATATGAATTGCTTCTTCCCCCACCCTTCACGGGACTAGTTGGAAGGATTTCGCTCTTGGGGCAATTTGGGGGCGATATACGACTCACAAGCGTCAATAGTTGTTCGGCAGCGTCTTCGGACGATTCTTTCGTTCCTTGTATTACCAAGGCGTGGAGCGCCACGGCTCGAAGGGTCGCCCAGCCATAATTTCCACCCACCAGGTCATTTCCAGTTTGAGGTAACAATCTGGAAGCCTGAGCCCACAATGCATGTGCTCTTTGCTGTGATACGTGGCCCTGTACGTCAGACATTGCCTCTGCAGCAGTGACGGCAAAAAACGCGGCTTTTCGCTTCAATTGGATTCGATCTTTCGATCGTTCTCGAACAGTTGGCAACAATGTCGGACGTAACCCCCTCCAGGCTATCGAAATGCAACGAAGGGCGACATCAGATCTCGTAGCAGAATCCAAACAAGCCGTCGAGGCCGCCATGTGCATAAATTCGCTGCATTTTTGAAGGCGTTTCAACGTGTTGATTTTGATGATATCTTCTCCATCTTTGTCTTTCATATCCAAAAAGTTCAGTCGAGTTGCAGATGCTTTGTCTGTTTTGAGTTTAAAAGGAAAGGACGAACAAAAAGCCGTATGAGTAAGCAGTAGAAAGTATTTGATGTACTATATTCCAAACAAACCAAGGCGACCCCAAGATTGCTTCGCTGCGGAAACGCACCCCATCGACGCTTGTCGCTATCGGGATCTCCTCCATACGTTTCTATTCCTCCGCCTTCGTCTCCTCCCAGTCCCCATTGACACCTGAGGTGGCCGTCTTCCACCTCTGCCGTATACCACGCAAGCTTCAAAAGCAACTCGGCATGAAAGCAGGCCGTCTTTGGATGGCGAGAGGTCACGTTCAACGCATCCTCACAGAGTGCCTGGACTACCTGGGGCATGCATTTTTTGAGCTCGTCGTTGCTTCCATTTTTCTCCGAGGCCGGAATCAGCGCACAGGCCATGATTTCTTCTGGCAGTTGAAAGGACGAATCGAGATACTCGTCCACATTGAATCCCCCGACGTCAGCCATAGCAATGTGGGCAGCGGCGCATCCCTCCAGTGCGCTCGAGTACCACAAGGGATCCGGGCTGGTCGTCTTGCACAAATCGGCGGCTTTGGTGTACCGTTCGTAGGCATCCAGTGGCGATCCGGCTAAGAGGGAAAGATCTGCGGCAAACTTCTCTCGTCGTGCTACTTCTCGTTTCCTCATTTCGTGCGCATCTTTTGGAGACAACTCGGTATAATCCCAAAATTCATCTAGAGGAGTCAACAATTGAGCCTTTACCGAGCTTCTGGGGGAGCTCGCGGAAATGGTTGTCGCCTCAGAAATCGACCCCTCGGAAGTAGTCGATGTTGCCGACGACGGTGTATCCGTGACGTTATTGTTTGTGCTAGCATTGTCGAGCTTCATTCGAATAGAAGCAGACCGATGCTGCTCGAGATTGCGGAGATTGTTCGTTTTCGATGAGGCAAGTTTGCTGCTCGGTCCCACCACTTTGGCTAGGGTGTCGATGCTCAGGTCTTTCGATCCTCCTCGAGGGGCTTCTGTATCTTCCGAACTACCCCTGCTATTGGCACTCGTTCTACCAAAAAAACCCGTCTTGGTGGGTGGCAAGGTCGAGGGGTTTTTGCCCGTCATCAACAAGTCCGACTCCCGGATCTTGTCTTCCAATACCTTGAAGACTGATACCGCTAGATCGTTCAGCACGACGTTGACGTGCAAGTCCATCATTTGCGAGCGCTCTTCGCCGGAAGGAGGAAATGCTACCAGCGAGTTGCTCGTAATGTTGAGTTTTTTTGTGGCGGCCTGGAGGTCCACCCCCGGACTCAGGTCTTCGTGAAAGCTATCAAAGACAAATAGCCGCGGGACCACCGTGTCCCTTTCCACGTCCCGCCCGAGAGCCGTTACCTCGTACGGAGGCGTCGAGTAGCGCTCGGCCCACTGGTGCCATTCTTGGATCGCCCGTTCAAGGGTTGCCATATCGGAACAGTCCCGAATGTTCAAGACTCCAACAACTGCGGCCGTCCGACGGCTGGGGCAAAGGTCGATCCAGTTCCGCGTCAGTTCGTGGTTGATCAATCGATCGTGGGCCGATCGGCTGTGATAGGGCCGTCCGTCAAAGAACCGCAAGCGCTGGCACCCGTGCCCCCAGTGAAAGTTGCGAAGGGGCGTTTCGTTGTATTTCCAATCGCTGGGGCGTGTGAGATTGGAATTGGGGACCACCACAACCACGGGAGATCCACTGTCGACCTTTGCGTCGTAGTTGTCATAGGTATCGCTCATACTGCCGTTGATTTTATTGAGTCCATTGTGTCGTTGCAGCAGGCGAAGAAAATCCTCAAACGATTTGCTCGAATGCGTCGTGGGATCGTCGCTTCCGTCGTGGCTGCTGCTCAAGAGCGGAATAACCGCAATGGCGTTGGTTGCAGTGGAGCGAAAGGTCGGAGACCCAACCACTTGGCTGAGTCTCACGGGGCCGCTGCTGCCGGCGCTCTCGAGGGAGGAACGAATCGACATGGCTGCCGAGGTGCCGTGTCGTATCTGGAGACTCTGGTTCTGGTCTTCTCCTTTTTGGCTGTGTAGAACTTTAGCAGTAACCGCGACCTCGCAAAAGTTCTGGCGTTACTGGTGGTTTGTCGCTTTGGGTAGACTGAAAGCAGAGAATCGACAGAGTGTTTCCTTCATGAGCTGCGTTATGTGTTCGGCTTCGAATTTTTTTGAAAATGACACCAACTATTTCAAAAGAGCATGATACGGAATTCTAACGTTCTTGACAGAGTTCGACGACCTACCGTACGGTACGAAAAAGCATGCATTTTGCGTTCGAATATAGACACTATATTAGTCTTATAAATTTGCACTGTGAAATTACGTTACGTAAATTGTACGGTGTCATATGTTACATAATGAGATAGAGAGACTACTAGTACTACTAGTACTACTAGTACTATTAGTACTTCTTGTAGTATTACAGTACTATTACTAGCTAGTACTACTAGCTAGTACTAGTACTAGTACTACTATTACTATGTGACGTAGTACAGAGAATGGAGAAAGTCCTTTGTTCCACCAGCGAGCAAATTCTTGTTGTTGTTGCAGCACTTTACGTCACAGCAGTCAACATCGTCATCATGTTCTTCTTGCAATGCAGGACGAGGTAAAATACTACTACTACTACTACTACTAGTACTACTGTCTCCTTCCACCACAAAAATGAGATGAAGAAATACTAGTAGTAGTACTGTGCGTAAAATAACAATTGAACTTAGTACGTTAAATTCTAAGGGATTGGGAAACGGCTTGGCTTGGCAAAACTGAGCCATCATGAACAGCATGGTTAGTAGGCCATGCATTCGGGACTCTGACAAAAGAGTTGAGAGCTTTAAATCTCAACGTTATGCAATCGATTTAACATTGGTAGTAAAGCACAAGGCAATCGAGTGAAGCAAAATGCTAACGAACGTAAATGATTATTTAAAGTTATAATTTCAATAGAGATAGCGTTGCATTTTCGTCCCAAGGATGCAGTGATCTACGCGGAGTTTTAATCGAAAGGAATCGCCCTGGAATTCATTCAGCCATGCTAGTTCTCCCAACACAAATGAGCATAAATATTTATATCGAGTCATGATGATAGTATCATGTCTCGTTTGATTTCGCCAAGAAGGACAAATGGGTAGAATACGCCAACAACTCTTCGTTGCACATCCGATTTTGTTGCAACCGTCCCAACACTGTCATCGCAACAAAAACTTATTCCCTTCGATACTGTTCAATCGGATTGGATCGTTTTCTTCCTCAAGAGTCTCTTCTTCGTGGCTGAGTGGCTGTTTGCCTCATCAGTTCATACCGGCTTCCATCATCTCTTCTGGTTTGGATGCCTTAGAAGCAGTGCTTCCACTCGCGTACTTCACGATCATGCCAAGAACCGCGACGACCCACAGTGCGATCGAGACAGAACTCATGATCAAGGCGGTCTTAACCTGTTGATCTTCGTCCAACTCTTCGTCGATAAAGGTCCCGAAGGCACCAGTGCTGCTAGAGGTTTTCATGAAATCAGAGCTTGCGGGTTTTGAACTAGCGGGTGACGAGCTCACGGGTGTCGCCGAGACGGTTTCTTGGGACATGAGTGCGGCATTCTGGGCCTCCAATTGGTCGATACGGAAGGACATTTTGTTCATCATTTCTACCAACTTGTCTTGCTCGAGTTCGCTGTACGATTTGCGCTTTTTAGAGATGACATAGTCGGACTGACCGGCATTTTTTTGCGTATCGATTTCAAAAGACCATTCGGGGGCTCCAGGAGAGGTGGTAATTGTCTCGATGGCAGCAAGAGCCTTTTCTCGGAGTTCACCGCCGATGCGGACGAAACCAAATTCTTCTTCGCATTGTGGGATGTAATCGTCGGAATAAACAGCTCTAAGGAAGGCCTTTACCAATGACTGGGCAGCAGGATCCTCGATGAAGGTCAAATCCTTTTTGACATAAATATACGTCATCGCGGTGATAGGCCAGGTGTTGGAACCGCCCTGAAATTACCGAAGAACGCAGTTATAGAAATGTTCGACGTCAATTTTTGGTATGGGTGAAAAGAAAATTTGCACACGGCTTTGTGTTCGGTTTGACTTCCACATAGATTCAAGTTTATACAAAACTCACCTGGTTCAAGAGGTTGACGTTGGCAAAGCTACCCTGCAAAGTATCAGGAAGATCGGCATTTTCGGCTGCAGCCATAATACCTCCGAGTTCAGCAGCTTCTTTGGTGCTGATGTACTTTTGAGCGGCGTTCTGCAGTTCAATCTCAGCCAAGCCTTCCGAATGTCCGTGACCCATGTCAATGTAACCGATGGTTCCGGGAATGTCTTTGATACAGGCAGACATTCCTCCGGAACCTTCGCACCCAATGGTGTCAACATCCCAGTCAATGGTTTTTCCAACCAGTTCCTCAGGCCACTCCTCGGGACAGGCTTGGTTGAGGTACTGGGTAATACTTGCGGTCGACGAACTACCCTTCACGCGATGCGCAACAGTGATTGGCGCGGGTCTTGGCAAATCGAGATTTGGATTGGCGAGTATGATCTCACTGTCATTCCAATCAGTGATCTCGCGCTTGAAAATCTTGGACAAGGTGCAAGCAGAAAGGTTGAGTTTCTGGTCTCCGACGGGCGCAGAGTGGAAAAAAGTAATCGCTCCGAGGAGTACAGGCAAGTGGAAGAAGCTACCTTGAGCGAGAGAATCAAACTTCTCTTGGCTCAATGGGATATCACCACTACCGAACATGTTGTCCGATAGGACTCCATCCCCGATGAACTCGGCCTGTCCGGTAGAGGATCCCACGGCGCGATAAGTCATACGGATGGGGTTCTTGGATTGGATTTGCATCTGGTCCATGATTGTCCAGTAGCACTTCGAAGGGTTGGTGGTTCCACTTCCATGAACGGAGATCGCAGGCTGTGCGGCAACGGGGGCGGCCAATAGGGCCGATGCCAGGGAGAGAGCAGCAGCAGAGTACTTCATTTTTCAATATCGTTATGTCGAGCTGTTTGTGTTCGATCAAAAAAAGATTTATGGTCGGATGCCAATTAAATTTGAGTGAAACTAGCGGCTGACACATGCGCACCTCCGAGTTATCATTTGGGGCTATCGAGGGGGGGGGGGTATGCTGAAAGGAAGTAGGTGCTAGTACATTTTGTACGCTTTCCGATGATTCCGATCGTAACATCTGGCCAAAAATGGAATAGCTTCCGCCAAGCGCCCAATCGGATTTGCTACGGTGCAGGCATGCAGGTTGCAAAATAGGTGCAGCATGAAGGCTACACAGTACGAGTACGGTTCGTACTGTACAGTACGTAACGTACAGTTCGTTTAAAAAGATTCTCACGATTCTTACAATTTCTAAATGATCTGTGCGGTGATTGATGGTCGACTGGTGACAGACAGACAGGAAGAAATAGATAACCCGAATGGAACAACTTTATCAAGGAACCCACGGGCATCCCCCCCTTTTGAATTCCTCCCCTAGAAAAACTTGGGTTATTTTTTGTGAAGAATAACCCATGTTTTAGAATTGTGGGTTATTTCACAAGAAAGATATGCAACGGATACATACGTACTGTATTGGACACGTAAGTACTGTATTGGAAGCATGCATATAGTACTACGAGGATAGTACTTCCTCGGAATGGATGGACATACCATTCCTACCCATATATCATAGGGCACTACTCATATATATGTATCATACAATCCATCGTACTATCAAGGATCGTAAGAGGTCCAAGATATCTAGAGATAGATTATCTTGCAAAGAACAAAGATGTCACAAGTTCCGAATAGCAACAAGAAGAACCCTGTGTAGATTCAGTACCAGACCTACTACTACACAAGGATCTAATCGGAACTTCAGAAATCTTACAAACCATTATGATAATCTATAATCTTATAATTTTGATTTCATACACACTTAAACATACTAAGAGTTCATGTAATTTGTGCAAGATAACCCATGTTTCTAAAACTTGGGATATTTTATTGGAAAAATAAGAACAACCCATGATGAAAAACCCACCAGAATAGTACTAGCTAGCCCATGATATGAGTCATTCTTAGGGTTAGAGGAGAAGCAAGGATGTTAAGTATTTTAGACATTTTTTTTTGGTGTTCAAAAATAGGTCCAGCAGATTTGTGGGTTATTTACGTGGGTTATTTTGTTGGTGTTATTCCTGGGTTGTTAGTAACCCAGCAGGAACGCAGGAACCCACGTTTCAGAACCTGGGTTCTTCTTTTTGGTGAAGGATAACCCACATTTTAGAATTGCAGGTTATTACATGGGAAAAATAGCTCACAAAAGCATGCCCCAAATGTTGGATTTTGAAAAGGGGATGCATGTGTGTGGGTTCCAGAAGGCCCAGTGTTTTACAGGTGACTAAAAAGTACAGTACTTAGGCACAGAAGACCTTTTGATTGATTCAATTAATTTAGGTACAGTAATACTGTAGGAAGCAGTCATACTGTACAGTACTGTAATGGGCAATTCCCATTATTCTAAAATCTCTAAATTTGATTGACTGACAGACCAATAATTTAGAGCATGGTGTGACTCCAGACTTAGCATATTTAGAACTGCTCAAAGCACCCCATCCTAAATACTCTACTTTTAGAGCAGAAGTGGAACCCAGCATGAATAAAATTTTCCAGTCAGTTGAAAGACTCAACAGAAAGTCCTATCAAAATTAAGACTCAGTTCAACAAAATTAAGACTTCTTTGTGCTAAACAACAAAAGAGGCACCTCTTTTAAGAACCATGGTGCAAAGGTGCCTCTATTGACTATTGAGCCTCATAAATAATATCCTGATTGGTCTTCTTAGTCACTAAATTCTATTTCCTCTCTTTGTTGCATCAAAGAGAGCAAGAGGAGGAGGCCAGCACCAGAAAGAGGAGGGAGCTCATTGTCCAGCCATCCCTCATACTATTTTTGTGAAGATGGATCAAAACAGCAGCAACGACAACAATGACAACAACAATGACAACAACAACGACAACAACAACGACAACAACAAC